TACAGTTTCGACAGGAAAAAAAAAGCCAGCAGATGGATGCAGACAAACACAAATACATGCACATAACAGTGCTTGACATGCTAAAGAGTGGCTCAGGACCCTAGCAGTTGGGTATTTCTAGATGTAAACATGAAAGTTTCAAGGCCAACTCTAAAATACTTCAGTGGCTCGTAAAGGAAATCCTCCCAAATTGAGGAAGAAGCTCAAAACAAAGAAAAATTAAAGCACAAAGATGGTAGGTCGTTTCTTCATCAGGTGATGAAGTCTGGAACTGTGATCCGTAACTGCAAAAGCTAGACAGCAAGAGACTTAAAAACTGAAAACAGCTGGTTGAAATTTCATGTGATAAAGAAGGTCATCAGGATAAAGGAAAGGACAACGCGGTCCAAACCGTGGGTTAGGAGACGCCTGCAGCAGCATTCTCAAAGAATAAAGGTTGGATATGACGGCATTCTTTGAAGGCCGGAGAAGCAAAGTTGAACTTACTGATAGACAAAATAGCAAGGCCCGAGTGAGAGATTTAGGTGAATGGATGGATCTGAAAGACTCAGACAACTTTAGAATGAGCAGTTCAAGCAAAGGAGTTGCTTGAATGAAGGCAGGATGATGGTGTCACCCAAGACAATCAAGCAAAACTAAGAAGAGCAACTTATGAAGGAGGTTAAACATTTTATTTTAGTTATGCAGAAGTTAAGCTGACAGAACTCTTTAGAAACATAAGCAAAGAACATTACACATGTAGACAGATCGGAAAATCATCCATGCAGAGACTTTTTTTTTTTTTTGGAGGGTTACAAGAACTAGAATCCCAAAGACAGAAGTGAAAACCTTTATGAAAAACACAGATATTTTTCATCTGAACTTTTGCTCTCTGTAATTTCCGATTTAGTGAAAACTTGAAACAAGACTGACATTTTTCCCAAAGCCAACTACAGACGACACAAATCAATATCACCAATTAGACATCACAACTTTCTGGAGCAACGAGCACAAGAGGGAAAAAAATAAAAGCAGCTACTAAGAGGAAAATGTTCATTCAGGGAAAAAAGACAGCAATGAGAGCAGACCAAAAGCAGCGAAGGCTACAATCATTTTTAATTGCTAATTTATCTTAACTTAAAATCTTATGAACCAATATTTAATTCAATTTCTGAAGTTTATCTTCTTGATCAGATGTGCCAACAAGCAAAACATAAGTGGTTTCATATACATTAGAAATACCATTTTAAAAAATAAAAACAACAGGAAGAAGCAAATTTCCTATGCTGGTTAGTATATTTTCAATAGTTGTTCCTTTCAACTATATAAAAAGAACACACAGTTATAAAGATGAATTAAGTTTGTCTTTCAGATGTTCTAGAAAATCATCTTCATACCAGTATCACTACAAACAGTCCTTCACACATCAAAACAGGATCCTGTGGTCATCATGGTTTACACGGCTTCACCTTCTGCTGAATTTATAAATATAGCACATTACCAGAACCCTCAACTCCAGAAGAAGCCTTTAACAAAGTCATACAAAAATGTCTTTAGAGTACAACTCTATTTGTCTTATGCATTGTCATAGAAAATAATGCTAACAATTAATTCAAGTCAGCAATCCACTGAAGTAGTGCAAGGCTTTCTTCACTTTACAGAGTACACAGGGCTACAGTCCAAAGGAAGTAAGTTTACAAAGAGATGGCTGGTAAACCATATGGTTTCCAGAGTCAGGATGTCCTGACACGTACCACAGCAGTTCACAATTAAGAGTAAGCAATAAGAAATGACATCTGCTGACGCAAAAGATTTACCACTGCACCAGAAGTGGCGCACATACCTTTCTTCAAAAGAAAACAGGACTCAAAGCAAAACAAACAAACAGAAAAACCAACCAAAAATAAAGACCTCCATATTCCGCTTTACAAAGCATCCCACACCAACACTTTAGGAGCGGACATGAATCATATCACTGTGTGATTTGTGTATTGTTATGACTGGAAGTAAGCATGTATATATTTAGCAAGCATTCAGTCTTAAAAATGAAAAGCCTTCACTCAGCAAGCTGGTAAGAAACGTGTCTTTCAGAGGTAAACCGAGACAAAGCTGAGCTCCCTCCGCAACTTCACTCAGGACAAACCCAAGAATTTACTGCAGAATCACAAAAACAAGAGAGCGCAATCCTGATTGTGAAGAAGTGGATCACTCTAATCCACCAGAAAGATTTGGCAACAGCTAACTCAGGAACTTCCAGACAAGTTTACTCTAGTGCCTAGGCAGAAAAAACCCAACCCTCTCTTCTGTCCCTAACTGCCCCACTGCCCACCCCACACCCTGCCAACAAAATAAATACCACTACTTGTTACAAGTTTAAGATGTGACTTAAAACCTACGGCATTATTTCCTGGCATCAGAAGGAGAGTAATGGATGCCTATTGTATTTAGACAATTAATTTCTTACAGAAATACCTATCTTCTATTCACTTGTTAAAACAAACAAAGTTGGAAGCCCTGGACTGGTCTGACAAAAGAACTTTTGTTCAAGCAAAGTATAGCAGCCCTAACACTATCTGTTTGAACAACTAATGCTAGTCAAAGACAATACAAGGGAAGTAACACAGGTAAAACAGAGTAAGTATCTAATGAGTAGGACATCCGCTTAACACTGTTTTCAGCCACAGTGTATGGACTAGAACAATCAGAGCTCCAACGCTTGCACTCTTCCAAAACTCCACTTCAAAACCATTTACCAAACAAGTATCTTCTGCCACCCAGTTCAAAAAAGTCAAAATACTTCGATGCACCACAGACAGCATAAAGGTGGCTCTGAAGTAAGACACTACAACAATTCTCCAGAAAACCACAACACACAACGCTATCAAAAATTAATTCTGAAAAACTTTATCAGGGAGGTATTAACCAGAAAAATGGATGGAATTTGAACATTATGCTTCTTCATTTTTTAAGAAGAAGTCTAGCATCATTGGAACAATGGTAAACTCAAAATTTCATTATTTCTTCCGTCCAGAAGCTGCCTTAACCGCAATGTATTTTATTTTCCACAGAAAGATGAAAGATAGGATTTCTTTCTGAAAGAAGCTTTCCCATCAAAATATAAGCGGAGGTGACTGATCACCCATCTTACAGGCTGAGAATACCATAAGTGCTTGTGTAACAGCTACCACACTGCAACTCAGCTACACGTTTCTGTACTGGAGGGGTAAGCAATAACAATGCTGATGCTACATATGCACAAGGACAGCTGACTTTGGAGCGCCATTTTCTGATCAGAAGAAAGTATAAAAGAGGAACTTCCACCTTCTCCTTAAGCTTTTATTCTTTTTCCACAAATAGCATAAACAGGACATAAAACTTCTGTCAACCTTGACCAGGTAACACATTGAAGGATACCAGTTATGATTGATGACTAGATTATGATTCCGCTAGACCCTTTGTGGAACAATAACATTTAATTGACTTTGAAAGGTGCATATTAATGTAACAATTACATAAAATGTTGCAAAAAATAACCAATGCGCATATAGTTTCAACTACACTGTGCTCTGTATACTCACTTAGGTGCTGACAAATTGTAATGTGATTTTCTTTACATTAAACAAGTTACAGAGGTAATACAGCTTTTACTCAGTAAGTCAACAGTAAGAGCTTTGGCCACACACTCTAATTTGCTCTTAGGTAATTATAAAATGGCAAATCAAACTGCCACTTACATGGTTGGAATCTAACAACTGGGTGGGCCATGACAGAGCACCCAAACAGTTTAGGCAGTATTGTTATTCTCCACAGTAGAAAATATAATTATTTTCAGGCCCCCTGAATAATAGTAAAGTGATTGAAAGTTGCTGAAATAATCCTGTTTTAAAAAATCATGTTCAGAATGTGTCACAATTTTATCAGCTTGAAATCCACACTAGTAAAGTGTGCACAGTAGTACAGCCAATTCTAAATAGCCCAAGTAGTAAATTAACTACTCTCATGTTTACATAATAGGCATTCTCTTCCAAAGTTGTTCTTCAGATACACTTCATAACAATACACAGCTAGTTTATAGATTTTAGAAACATTAGGCTTAGAATCTTCGGGGGGAAAAAAAAAAAACAAAACAAAACAAAACAACCACACGTAATCTATGTATAGTTTAAAGGAAGACTTAAGTTATTTGTAATTTTTTTTTTTTTTTTTTAAATTTACATGATGCTAGTTTTCCAAAATACACAACATGTTTTTAAAACAGTAATTTGCTCGCTAGAAGGTCAGAGATGTATGGTCAACTTGCTTATGCAATGCTAGCATTGGAAAGCAGGGCTACTGTTCTGAACCACAAAAGGAATACTATCCTTTGCACTGCAAAGGACTGAAACAAAATATTTTTGGTTCTTAATGGTAAAGCTAGTGCTTACCCATAAGAAAAGCAGCAGGGAAACTGGACACTGATGCTAACAGCTGATGTCCCTTTAATAATGCAGTTAGCATTGTAAATTTATATTAAAAAAGACACACCAGTAAACCTCAGAAAGCACAGATCTCAGTTGATGGAGTATAAAAAGGAAGATGTAGATAGACAGATGAAAATCCACATTCACCACTTACAACACGATTGTTTTAAATTGCAATTTCCTGCAAGTACATTGCTTAAAGTAACTTTTACAAACAGAGCCCTAAGCAGGAGCACTATCTCCACGTTCTGTCCTGATAAAGAACTCTTTCAAAACCCTTGGGTTGTTTTTTTCAAAGGGGCAACAGAAGTTTAAAGAGAAGGTACTTAAAAAGAACAGGCAAAAGGTTACAGTTCTAACAGCTGAAGCAACAGCCCATGGAAAACACCCATTACCATGAAATCTGAACAATGCCAAAACATGACATAAAACCAATTCTACACAGAAAAGACTGTGTGGTATCTAAGCAGGCAGAACTTTTACACACACCATAAAACCAGTCCCACAGTATAGTCCTTATAGAGTAAGAATATTTGTAGTATTGCTGAAAATAAATAATCCGTACAGAAAATCTCATCTGTCAAAGGAGGAGGTTACAGAAAGAAATGAAGGAAATGTGAAGAATAGGAATTTTAAGAAATAAATATAAAGCAGATATTGTTGAGCTCTGCCCCTAGTTTTTAAGGCTGCTCTTTTTTCATCCTCTGATCAAAGTAATAGGTTTGCTTTGTTTCCTCTCTCCTTTTTCCTAACATCTTTAGGATAGGAGAAAACTTTAGCTACCTCACTACAGCAAGAAGATGGTTATCACAGCTATTATAGTTAAAGAATAAACAAGGATAATGACTGTTATTTCAACAAGCAAAATAGGCCTCAAAGCCACAGTCTTACCATGGATGGGACCCCACTGACTTTGCAGAGCCTACTGCCTTCACTAGGTATTAATTTGATCAGTGACCCACCACAGAAATCAGCCATAGGAAACACTCCAGAAATGGGATTTGAAGCATCAGTCGACTGAGCAGGTTTCTGTTTCTGATTTTAATCCCCGAGTTTGATCTAGGCAGAGGAGAAAATGACCTTCCTGTGCCTACTGCCACGTAAGGCTAAGAGACATAAATCTGTTTGCCAACATATTAAATTTGCTCAAACACATCCTTTCACTATAAGTACCAAATGCTAAAAACTCAAGCAGCAAGCTACAGCATTCTCACACTATGACATCATCCTGTCTGGTATACTTTAATATAATTTGGAAATAAAATTTGATTAACTGAGAGCAGCTTAAAGAGGATACATTAAAGATCCAAATTGAGGACACTTATCCCATAAAATGAAAAAGAAAGCACAGTGCTGTGTCCAGCCTTTCCAGTGACTTCTACAGAACAGGCCTTAGTGGCTGTTCTGATGCTCTGTTGCAATAGTGACCAATACAGTTATGCTATATTAGCTGAGTAGAAGAAATCCCCAAGTCAAAGCAGTAGGGTTAAGATTTTCTGGCAACCATGAAAACACAAATCAACCAGGGGACAACCCTACCATATAGATTTCTTAATAGCCTGACACAGGGGGAAATTAAGCCATACATTGCCCATGTGGTTTCAACAACCATGAAACAGATTGCTGGTTTCCAAGCCAAAAGCTTCATTCTACTGAAGAAGAGTGCCTGCTTCCAAGTATTTATACTTATAGCTCTTATTACAAGATGCTCACTGTTTACAGCATCCTGATCACTAACAGAGAAACATCCACAAAGCCTTTGTGATAATAACCATTTCTATCAAGGCTGTTCTGTAAGTTAAAATCATCAAAAATTGTAGTGGAAATACAGATGCTATTCAGGGAGCATCAAAACAGAGAGTATACAAGGACTCAACCAAATATTCAGAACTACCACTTGTCAAGGCATATTACATGAAATAATCACCACCGTGTCAGTATAACCACTTGTGAACTTTTAAGAAATGTTAAAACACCTGTATTTTACATGAACCAAAGGGAAAGTAAACAGTTACACTAATTCATGAAGAATCACCAAGTTAAAAAGTCTTATCTCCCTTGCCTTACAGACCCAAGGCTACCAGGTAGTAATCCTCAGTCCTCAGCAGTTTCAAGAGGAAGCTCTCAAGTATCACCTCATATGCAAAGCAGAGTGCCTACATCTCCTGAACAGTTATCCATGTTATAACCAAACTGTTCCTGCCATTGGGAAGGAACTCTTGCTAATCTATCACCATACAAGCTGTCCTTCTGTGCAATACTGAACAAAATGGATCAGGCTGGTGCAGAGAACTGTAAGACCTAAAAAACTACAGTCTATCCCCCCACTTCCTAAAAAATGAGTTTCAGTAAAACACGTTTCTAGTTTCAAAATGAAGAGTAAAGTACTTAAAAATCCTTAAAATGCAAAACACACTTAAAAGTTAGGCGTGCCACACTAATCTGTTTACTAAACTGACAAGAGTGACATCCCCCAGTCCCCACGCACATTCCTAAAAGCACAAACATATCTAAGTTGCCATCATGAGAGTGTCTCACAGGAGGCTCTCAGGCTTAACTGAAGTTTCATACTTCAGAGGTCTTGTTTGCAGACTAACAATGTGACCCAACACGGAACACACAGAATATGTGATTACAAGTCTAAGTTAAGCAGCTTTTGGTTAGGACAGCTCTTCAAGTTTGAGTCATTTTAAGGGATCTGAAAATAACAATAGCCTAAGGCAAACACACATTTGTTTTCCTTCCACAAACCAAGATTAAAAAAAACATAGCCAGAGGCTACAGTGGGGGGAGGGTGGAAAATAGATGGTGCTTAAGTAACCTAAAACATAAGTCCCCTTACTTCCCGAGGCACAGACAGCACAGCAACGAGAGCTGCAGAAGACGCACTTTGCCCATGTGCACCTATTAAATAGCCCCATTCTTCCCTGTGCATACAAACGAAGGCACAGAGACACTCACCACTTTGTCCATAAGCTTCCAGGTCTTCTCCACAGTCCTCCGGTCGGCAGCTGCCTGCTTGGGGGGGCCCACAGCATCCTGAATGGCATCAATGAAGCCCAGGATCCGTCCTTTGCGCGGGTTCCGGCCGTTGAGGGAATTGGCCATCTGGGAGCCAAGCTGGCCGCAACGAGAGAGAAACAGAGACTCACAAGGTGCTCCCAAAACATCTTGTCATAAACCTCGCCGCAGCCAGTGAGGCAACACTTCCTTCTTCACGGGCAGGAAAGGGCAAGACCAGGGCATGTTTAAGAACAAGTTTAACTTTTCACGACCGACAGCGTGAACCCACCTGGCCCGAGTTTACATTGGCAGAAGCGATCGCGGATT